ATATATATATATATATAATATATATATATAATATATATATATTATAATATATAGATGTATAATAATAATATGATATATAATATTAATATACATATATATACTATATAAAAATAAAATTATATAGAAATTTATATATATATATATTAAAATATATATATAAATATATATATATATATATATATATATATATATATATATCATATATAATATATAATATATAATGTCTGGCCGAATAGGCAGAACTTGTCTATCCTTGGCTGTAAATAGCAACGCTCATCATGCATATAGGACAAGAGAAAATTTGTGTATGCAATAATTTCGCCAAATCATTCTGAACCTAACGAAAAAAATATTACACTGGTTTGTTTAGTATTATATTATAGTAAACAAATCTAAATATATTTAGTTGGGTTAGGCTAGGAAATAAAACGCGGAAGAGAATAGGAAGGTAAGAAAAGATGTACGGTGAATGCTGAAACGGGGGGGGCAGACCCCACCCAACAACAAGTAACACCAACTTAAAGGGACCGAATACACCGAACCAAAATGAGCCCCCTAATCCCAAATAATCCAACACCCAACAAATCCCCCCCAAACACAAACCCCGTAAAACCGGAGAACTTAAATAGAAAGGACAAAAAAGAAGATGCGATACAATCACCAATACGCAGAATAAACCATACTAAGTCACGCCAAAAATATATATAACATCTAACACTCAGCTAAAAATATCTAAATGAAAAAAAAAAACTAAATATAAAAATCAAAATAAAAATATAAACGAACACATACATTGATCACAAAACAAAAACAAAAAACACACACAATTAAATTATAAAAAAATAACTAAAAAGAACAAACAATAAAAAAAAATATGATAGTAAATATCTAATAATAAAAAAAAAAAAACACAATATAAATATATATAAAATATAAATGAAAACCAAAACTATATACTTATATATAAAACTAAATAAATATAAAAATAAAATATATATATAAATATATATATATATATATAACAATAAGTCAATATAGTAAAAAAAATAAAATGATAACAAAATAACATCACAATTAAAAAGAATAAATATATATAAAAATCTAAACTCTAAAAAAATAAATAACTATGAATAACAACAATCAAAAACACAAAAAATACTATATACTAAATATATATATATAAATCTATTAATAAAAAAAAAAAACAATATCAAACTAAATCAAAAAAAAACAAAAAATATATATGACAGAATAAATAATATAAAAAAATAAAAATCTATAACAAAATATGAAGTAATAAAAACTATATAAAAAAAAATAAGAAAGAATATAAAATAATAAAAAAATATAAAAAAGATATATATATATGAGTATTATGTATGTATAAAAATATATATAAAAAACAAAAGAAAAAATATCAAAAAAACAATGAAATTATAAACACACCAAAAAAAATAAATCAAACAATTCAAAAACAAAAACTATATAAGTCAGACTCATAATCAAAATCACAATAAACAAAAATATCTAAGCAAACACAATCTAAAAAAAAATAAATAAATATAAGTAAATGTAATAAAAACAATATAATAAATCAATAAACTAAATATCAATATAAAAATGTATGTATTTAAAATATAAAAAAATATAATAAAAATATATAATATATCACGTATAAATAAATATATAATAATAATAAAAAAAACTAAATAAAAAAAAATATATATAGAAACAAAAACAATATTTAATGTAAAACAACTATAAAAATAAATATAAATATACAACAAAATATATAAATATAAATATAAAAATATAAAATAGTATGTAACAAAAAATATAACAAAAAAAAACTATCTAAACAATAAACTATATAAAATAAATCTAAAAAAAACTATAACAAACTCTCACACACACAACACACACACAGCCACACATATATACAACACACACCGACACACCCACACACTCACACGACGACACACACAACACACGACCCACCACACAACACACACAACATTCATTTGACCCCTCACATGGATACACAAGAGGTCCCCCAATCCACTGCTCATATTCTCCCACCGTATTCACGGAAAAAGACTTAGGATGACAACCAGCCGCCGTTAAGACACTACCCCAACCCCACCCCCCCACCTAATACAAAAAATAAAAAAAATCAATGAATCTCTCACTCATCAAAACTGCACACTCAAATCACACACAAAAAACACACAAAACACACACACACACTCACACCACACCACACACGAACAAATATATCAATCAAAAACACACACACACACACTCTACACACACACACACGACACTCGCCCACACCAATACACACACTACACACTCACCATAAACACACTACACACCCACACTACACACACACACAACACACACACACACCCACACTATACTACACAGCACACTACACAGCTACACCACACCCATACACACTACACACACACACACCATACCACACACACACACCACACACACACACGACACACACACTCATACACACACGTCACACGCACACACACCACACAACACACACACAACAACCCACATACACCACACACACACACACACGACACACACACACATCACAACACACACATCACATCACACACACACACTACACACACACAACACCCTGCATAAGTCCCCCCCCTTATACCCGCAAAACCACCTATCCGCGCTTGTACCAATAAAATCGCCCACTACGAAAATATGCCAGCCAGTATAACCCCGTACGCCCACCAGGCCCAACCCAACCCACCGATCACGCCCCCCACCGAAAAAAACAAAAAATAAAATAATCAAAGCCCACCAGAAAATTTACATAAAACAAACCCACCAACTGAAACAGTGCCAAGCCAACCTATCCCAGCCACTTCACAAAGAACAAGACGAACATGAGCTGAATAGTGTAAGTGAATGGGAGGATGGTGAGAGCAATAACTTTTACTGTATATGAAGGTGAATCCCCAACCATTTTAGGACTTGAGGTAAGCAAGTACCATTTCTTCTGGTTGTTACTTCCCTCTTACTTATAAATCACTAGGGCCATCTCAGAGTCACTGGACTTCTCTCGCACAAGCTATCTGTCCATAGAGGCCAGTACCTCACGTACCTTATCAGTTCCCTAAAGTGTTTCACAACATTGTCCAGTGTACATTTGACCACACGGCTTGCAATAGCTGACTGTGAGGGTGATTTTCATCCATGAAGGTTTGCACTTCATGCCACTTTGCACAGATTTTCCTTTATCTGTGTAGTAGGCCCAACTATCTGCAATTTCTCTCCTCCCCCTCTGAACATTCCCCAGGACCTGGGGCCTCTTGACTCTTGAAGTTGATCTGTCAGCTCATCAGTGTAAGTTCTTCATTGTCCCTCCTCCCCAACTCTTCACATCCTCCCCCATCTACCTCTCCAACTCCCAAGGACTTTCCCAATGCCACAATGGTCTTCCTCAACTTGGCATATCCTCTCAGGGGTTAGCCTCAAACCGTTCAAAATCCCTTTTGTCCTACACATTCTGGCCACAGTTTTTCTTCAAGCATGTTCAAGGTCCTCTTAGTCACTTCCCTCCCAAGCATTAGCCTATAAGTTTTACACAATTGAGGATATTAAATGATCTGCTCCAAAACTCACTTAGAGTCCAGTTGAGCCTTCTGATGTCATTAAAAAGCACCTTTCAAACAGAGCTTTTGTGTACAGTTTTCTTGAAGTTTGCAATAACCTGCTGGTCCATGGGCTAGCAGAAAGGAGTGTATTAGAGGCAAAAGCTACACCTTAATGAAGCTCATGTCCCCATAAAGTCGCTCTGCCACGTCTGTAGGATGACCAGGGCATTTGTCTAACACCATGAGGGCACTTAAGAGTTCTAATTTTTCTTTTCAGTTAGGTAATCTTTCCACATTGGGGTCAAATGCAATGTGTAATCCAGTTATAGAAAAATTCCCCTAGTGACCCATGCCTAGCTGTTTGCCCTCCACAAGCACACACAAATTATCCTTTAGACAATTCTTTTGCCTGAACGCTCTGGGGGAGTTTCAGATGATACACTAATAAAGCTTCACTTTGCATCACCAGTAGCATTGGCACTCATGATAAGAGTAAGCCTGTCTTTCAAATTCTTATGTCCTGGGAGAGCCTTTTTCCTCCTAGAGTAATGTAGGTCCTCTTGGCAATTTTCTTCCAGAACAGGCCTGTTTCATCACAATTAAACACTTGTTCGGTTTCAGACCTTCAGTTTTTATGTACATCCTTGAATTCCTGCCATAAATTTCAGCCCTTTGTGGGTCCGAACTGGCAGCCTCACCATTGCCTTATAACACTATGGGAGCACTACGCTTCTTAAATCTCTCAAACCTACCTTGCTGGCCTTAAATTCACTCCAATCATCACTAGTTGCAGGGCATTTTATTTAATTAAAAATCCTCATGCAGCTTTCCTAGCCTTTTCACATATGATTCGCTTGAGAGATTCGCTATCGACCTGCCTAGCTGTTTTTTCTCATTTATCACACCAATTAGATCTCTCAACATCTTCCATCACTTGCGATACTTTGTTTCGAAAACACAGTTAAACCTTTGCAGAACAGCTTCCTTGATTGTCTTTTTGGTGCCCACAATAGTAGCGATTGTTGATTGGGGATTCTTGTAACCCAACTTGACTAGGTCGGGCGATACGCACTCCACTTTCATACTTATCAATGATCTCTTCTTCATTTGCAATGGAATTCTTACCCTTATTGGTGTAGCGGTTGGCACTAGAAGCATTCTTGGGGCCCCCAAGGTCCACTTATTTTACCAAAAACAGCACCGAAAACACTGTAATAATTACGAAATATTCCGAGTGTATGCTTGGATGTTACACCGCGGAGACTGGCCTGTAAACAATGGCACGGCTGGCACAGGTAGGCTGGCTGAGGGCGCACATTGGACCGCGTCTCGGAACGAAAATCGGTGAGCGGGTTTTTTTAAATCGGTATGGGGCGCGGCAAAAATTGGCGATTAAAGTAAGCGGTATGCGAAATAATCGCTAATGTGATGCCATCGTTATGCGGGGTCCCACTTATATATATAATGTATATATAAACATATATATATATATATATATATATAGAGATATATATAAAAATATATATATATATATATATAGTATATATATAATAATATAATATATATTATATATATAAATATATATATATATAATATATATATATATATATATATAGATATATATATATATAATATATATAATCAATATATATATAGTTTAAAACATATTTATATTATAATAATGGATATATATATATATATAAATAATATAATAAATATATAATACACAGTGGCCCCCGAATAAACGATAACCTCTCGAATGTGACCAATTATGTAAATGTATTTATGTAAGGCGCGTTCGTACGTGTATGTTTGGGAGGGTCTGATAATGGACTAAATCTAAATCTACTTCAACGAATCTTTCTTATGGGAACAAATTCGGGTCGTAACTGGCACCTGAACATACTTCCTGGAGTGAAAAAAATATCGTTCACACCGGGGGTCCACTGTATATTATCTATATATGTGTGGGTAGATTGGTAAAAGCACTGCTTTACCGACCTACGGTTCTTAGTTTCGAGCTCCTTCAGCCAAGATAGTGTTTATTATATACAGTGGCCCCCGCATAACGATTTTAATCAGTGCAAGAGGGGTAAATTTGTTATGCGAAAAAATCTGTAATGTGAGAATGAATTTTCCCATAAGAAATAATGGAAATAAAATTAATCCCGTGCAAGACACCCAACAAGTATGAAAAAAAAATTTTTTTACCACATGAAATGTAATTTTAATACACACAAACTGAAAAAGGGGGCATGCAACACTACCAGACACTTACGTTTTAATTGAAGATCGGTGATGATTGATGGGAGGGATGGAGGGGAGAGAGAGTGTTTAGGTTAGAGGGTGTATCCCCTTCCATTAAGACTTGAGGTGGCAAGTCCTTTTCCTGGGTTACTTCCCTTCTTCTTTTAATGCCACTAGGACCGAGCTTCAGAGCACTTACTTTTTCGCACAACATATCAGTCCATAGTGGCCCTGTACCTCTCGTTCCTTTTATGACTTCCCTAAAGGTTTCACAACATTGTTCATGTAATAATCCACCAGCACGGCTTGCAATAGCTGTGTGAGGTGATTTTCATCCTGAAAGGTTTGCACTTCAAGCCACTTTGCACAGAATTCCTAATCTTTGTAGTAGGCAACTCTTCAATTCTCTTCTCACCCCCCCTTCCCCCTCCCTCCTCTGACCAGTTTCCTCAGTCTGGCCCTCTTGCTGTTGAAGTTGATCTATTCAGCTCATCTTGGTTAGTTCTTCATTGTCCTCCTCCACCAACTCTTCCACAGCCTCCCCACTAACCTCCATACCCCAATGACTTTCCCAAATGGCCACAATGGATTCCTCAACTGGCATAATCCTTCTCAGGGTTACCTCAAACCCTTCAAAATCCCTTTTGTCTAGCACATTCTGGCCACCGTTTCCTCAAGCATAGTTGTTCAAGGCTTCTTAGTCACTCCCTCACCAAGCCTTACCTATATGGTTTACACAATTAGGATATTAAAGTAGCTCTCTTCCTTCCAAAACCTCTTAGAGTCAGTTGAGTTTCTGAGGTCACTCAAAGCAACTTTCAAACAGAGCTTTTGTGTACATTTTTTGAAGTTTGCAATAACCTGCTGGTCCATGGCTGCAGGAGAAGGAAGTGGTATTAGGAGCAAAACTTCACCTTAATGAGAAGCTCATGTCCCCATTAAAGTCGCTCTGGCCACGTCTGTATGATGACCAGGGGCATTGTCCTAACACCAGAGGCACTAAGTTCTAATTTCTTTTTCAATTAGGTCATGCTTTCACATTGGTGGCAAATGCATGGTGTAACCAGTTATAGAAAAAGTCCTATTGAACCCATGCCTTACTGTTTGCCTCCACAGCACACACAAATTATCCTTGAGGACATTCTTTTTGCCTGTATGCTCTGGGAGTTTCAGAGTGATACACTAAATAGAAGGCTTAACTATGGCAATCACCACTAGCATTGGCACACATCAAACAAAGTAAGCCTGTTCTTTCATAGGCTTAATGGTCCTGGGATGCCTTTTCCTCCTGATAATGTAGGTCCTGCTTGGCATTTTCTTCCAGAAAAGCCAGTTTCATCACAATTAAACAGTCTTGTTCAGGTTTCCGTCCTTCACTGTTCTATGTACTCCTTGAATTCCTTCAGCCTATTTTTTTTCAGGCCGCTTTGTGGTCCGGAACTGGCAGACTCGACCATGCCTTACACACTAAGGATGCCACTACGCTTTCTTATATCTCTCAAACCAACCTTTGCTGGCCCTTAAGATTCACGTCACATCATCACTATTGCAGGGCAATTTTTTAATTAATCCTCATGCAACTTCCTAGCCTTTTTCACATAGATCGCTTGAGATACGCTAATCTCCTGCTAAGCTGTTTTCATTTATCCACACCAATAAGAGTCTCTCAAACATCTTTCCCTTCACTCTGCGATCTTTTGTTTCGAAAACACAGTTAGATGCCTTTGGCAAAGAACAGCTTCCTTAATTGTCGTTTCTGGGCCCACAATATTAAGCGCTGGTTGATTGGGGTTTCCTTGTACAACTAGACTAGTCGGCGATTAGCGCACTACTCCACTTTCCATACTTATCATTGATCGCCTTTCTTCATTTCTATTGGAATTCTCACCCTTATTGTGTACGGTTGCGCACTAGAAGCTTTCTTGGGGGCCATGGTCACTTATTTTGCCAGAAACAGCACCGAAAACACTGTAATAATACGAAATATTCCGAGTGTATGCTTGGATGTTTACGCGCGGAGGCTGGCTGGTAAACAATGGCACGCGCACATGATGGAGGCTGGCTGAGGGCGCACATTGGATGCGTCTCGGACGAAAATCTGAGCTGTTTTTTAATACGTTATGCGCGGGTCAAAATTTTGCGATCAAAGCAAGCGGTATGCGTGATTAATCCTATGTGGATGCCATCGTTTTGCGGGGTTCCACTGTAATATATTAAATTATATTAACACGTATATAAAAATAAATAATAATATATATAAATAATATATATATATATATATATATAAATATATAAATATATAAAATAAGTAAATATATAATAATATATAAATTATATATAGTATATATTTATATATATATAATATAAATATATTTATATCTATATAAATATTATATAAATGAAATATATAGAATTATATATATATATATTATATATAATCTATATAAATAGAATATTTATATATATAAAATATAAATATATATAATATAAAATATATATAAATATATATATATATAAATATATAAATTTATATATATATAAAAATTAGATAAATATATGATGTATATATAAAAAAAATATATATAGTATATATATATATATAAATATATATAATATATATATTATCTAAAAATATATATAAATAAATATATAAATAACGTTATATATATATATATATATAAAAATGTATAATTATGTATAAATATATATATATATATAATATATTTGATATTTTTTATATTTTATATTTTTTAAATATATATAATATACCATATATTTATATATATCTAAATACATATTTATATATAATATAAATATATATTATATATATATATATATATAAATATATTATAATAAATTAATGAAAATATATATATAAATATAATATATATATAGCTTATATATATGTAAATATATATATATAATATATAGATATATAATAATATATATATATATAAATATATATAGATATATAAATATATATGTAAAATATATAATATATAAATAAATGTGAATATATATATATATATATATATATAAATATAAATATAAAAATAAATATATATTATATAATATATATATATATATATATATATATATATATAATAAATATATATACATCCAAATATATGTATAGTGATATATATATATATAAATATAAATATATATATAAATTAAAATATAATATATATATATATATATATATATATATATATATAATATATATAAAATAAATATATATATAAATATATATACATAAATATATGTATATATATATATATATACAAATATAAATATATATATAATATGATATATAATATAAATATAAGTATAAGATATATATTATATATATATATATATATATATATATATTATTAATCACATTTTTACAATATCACACTGGCCATTCCACCAAGGCAATGGTGCCCCCGAAAAGAAACTTTCAACCACATTCACATCCCATCACTGTCTGCCAGAAGGGTGATTTTACACTACAGTTTTTTTTAAACTGCAACATTAACACCCCTCTTCAGAGTGCAGGCACTGTACTTCCCATCTCCAGGACTCCAGTCCGGCCTGCCGGTTTCACTCCCTGAACCCCTTCATAAAATGTACTTATGCTCACACTCCAATAGCACGTCAAGTAATAAAAACCATTCGTCTCCAATCACTCCCATCAAACACGCTCACCGGCACGAGGCCTACGCTGGAAACCACGCCCTCCGCACACAAAACCTCCTTTACCCCCTCCTCCATATAATATATATATATATATAAATATATTATATAAAATATATATAAATAAATAATATATTATATATGTATATATATATATTATAAATATATATATATAAATATATATAATAAATATATATATATATTATATATATATATATTATATATATATATATATATATATATATATATATATATATATTAATATTATTCATATATATATATATATATATATATATATATATATAGTATATATAAATAATATATAAAATATATATATATATATATATATAGATACATGGAATATATAAATATATACAATGTAAATTTATTATAATTAATATATATATAAATATATATATATATATATAAATATTTATAAATATATATATATACTATATATAAATATATATATATATTAAAATATATGATATAATATATTATATAAATTATGTATATAAATATATATAAAATATAATATAATAATATATAATAATATATAAATATATATATATATATAAAGATATATATACTAAATATAGTATATATATCAGATTGGAGGGAGAGAGTATGGAGGAGGTGAATGTAATTTCCAGATATTTGGGGAGTGGACGTGTCAGCGGATGGGTCGATGAAGATGAGCTGAATCATAGAAATGATGAGGAAAAGGGTGAGTGGTGCACTAGGAGTCCTGTGGAGCGAAAGAAATTTTGGCCTTGGGAGGCAAAGGAGGGAATGTATGAGAGTATATCTTTACCAAACGCTCTTATATGGTGTGAAGCATGAGTGTAATGAATGTTGCAGCAAGGAGAAGGCTGGAGGCAGTGGAGATGTCAAGTCTTCTGAGGGCAAAGTTGAGGTGAGAAATATAATGCAGAGAATTCGTAGTATTGGCGAAGTTAGGATGTACTGGCAGCTCTGATATAGTTTTTCTATCTACCAGTGGAAGTTGACTATTTGGGTCTGGGAATTTCGTCTCTGCAACAGATTAATTTACAAGTACAGGTCGGCCATCACTAATCCGGCAATCGGTAATCCGGTTCCATCAGTAATACGGCACTAATTTCAGCTAGCCTAATTTCAAATTTTTGGGGTTGCCACACCATCCTGCCACTACTTTTTGGTAGCATTACTTGCTGCATAAGTCATTCCAATTTGTTTTTCTCCATTTATTGTTATCACTTGCTCACTTTTATCCCTAGCCATGGTTCCAACAAATAAAAGAAATGCTTCTCATTGTGTAAATCACATACACCATACATTGTCCATAAAAGGTAAGGTGGCTTTGAAGCCACAGTCAGTCGCTATGATCTCAGCTCCCTTAGATAAGCTGTGACCGGGAAATTTGGGCCTACATATGAGAGAATAGGTCTGTGTGGTAAGTGTACACTGTATAAAAAAATCCTGCAGCACCCAGTGCCTAATGAGAAAAAAACTGCGATCGTGTTTTTGGTGTACAGCAGCGACTTTGCAGTGTATTTTCGTATGGTTTTTATTGTTGTATTCTCATTTTTTTTTGTCTCATTTGATAGAATGAAAGATATATTACAGAAATAGATATGAGTTTGAGTGGTTGTAGGACAGATAGTACATGTACCTTGAAATTGAGCTGAAAGTAGCGGAAATGTTTGATTTTTGCAGATGTTCGAGAGTAAACAAATAATGTCACCGTCCAATAGGTGTCCAACTGGCCAGTCTGATATGTGGTCACGAATGGGTTGACATTATTTACACAATTATTACAATAATGCAGTAGTCTGCATGATAGTAAATCTTCTAACCTCTATCTTTATCTTTGTTTTTTGTGTGAATAAAAATTCAAAATGGAAAGCAAGCATAATATAAGAAAGGCCTGGAGACGTGACTGATGAACAGAGAAAATGTTATTTTAGTGCCAGGAAAGTCTGCATTGTTTATTCCAGACCCTATTTTGAAATTAGCATCTCTTGAAATTTGTGTGAAATTGGCCAAATTACTGATTTCTGACCACTTTATTGGGTACTTGCAATAGGTAAATGGGCAATTTCTTGTACTCAATCGACAGAATAGAAGGAATACTAACGAAATAGTTATGAGTTTGGTAAATTGGAACAATGGAATGGGCCAAAAATAGGGCATAAAGTGGGTAAAATCGACAATGGTTAAATATCGCTGTTGGGTTAAGTGTATTCTAACCTAACCACTCTGTAATCCGGCAAAATCAGTAATCCGGCACCCTACAGGTCCCGATGATACCAGATTAGTGGTGGTCAACCTGTAAAGTGTCTCAACCTTTTCTTAATTGCTGGTTGTAACAATCCCTTTCTGCAGATTTAAAGTTGGAAATATTTCTTTGGATGAATATCTCTGGTGATCCTTGACCAAAGACCACCAGGTTTTGGAGCTCACTCTTTCTGATACCTACTTTCCTTTTGTGCTAGTTCTTATCTAGAGGTGGTCCAGCATTGGATTTCCTCCAAATTCCAACAGGGGTGTCTGTAGAAGTTCCTGTTCTGGCTACAGTAGAGGGGAAACCTTTTTGTGGTTCTTCCAAGCCTTGCACTTTGCATTAGCTTCTCTGTCTCTCTCTCTCTCTCTCTTTTCTAGTCACAGAAATAGTATAATAATAGTAGCCAGTTCATAATATGCATTGATTTATTATCTTAGTGAGGTGTGCTCATAGACAGCATGTGTAACAACAATGTTTGTCTTGCAGTACGGTGCGCACACGAGGACAAAGTGAAGTTTGGTCATCCCGAAGTGGAGGTGGAGGTGCTGGAGGAGGAGGAGGGGGAGGAGGAGGAGGAGGAGGAGGAGGGGGGGGAGGAAGAGGAGGAGGAAGTGGGGGTGGGAAGGGTTGCAGAGGTGGTGGTGTAGGGAGAGGGATGACCAAACCAAGCCACCGAGAGCAGGTGAGTTAACTTTCAGTGGAATGGTTTGCTACAGTAGTGCAGCATTAGGTGCTTCTCACAGTTAGAAATAGTGGAGTTAAATATTGGTTTCTGAATGCCCTGAGTTATTTATGTTGAGCAACTTCTAAGTACACTTGTTATCCTAAGTTTGGTCTTCATTTTTGGTGTTATGTTTGAAGACTGCAACTTTTTCTTTTTACTGACAGGCTTGATTACTTCTTGGTTTTATTTTTTTATGGAGTGTGACATGGTGTAAATGTACACATTTTTTTTCCATATACAGTGGACCCCCGGTTAACGATATTTTTTCATTCCAGAAGTATGTTCAGGTGCCAGTACTGACCGAATTTGTTCCCATAAGAAATATTGTGAAGTAGATTAGTCCATTTCAGACCCCCAAACATACACGTACAAACGCACTTACATAAATACACTTACATAATTGGTCGCATTCGGAGATGATCGTTAAGCGGGGGTCCACTGTACTATATTTATGTTGATTTTGGTAAGATGGCATTTATTAGTGCTTCAGCTTAACAAAAAATCTACATGTATTGGTCACTATCTTGAGAGGATGTACCCATTTATTTCTATTACTTTTTTGTTTAAATACTGTATATTACGATTGCATTCTTAAACTGCAATAAGCCCTCGATATAAGATAGTAATAAGGGGTGGCGGGTGGGCGGTGATGGTAATTGTGATGGGTAGAGATGAGGTCGTTTAGCCATGATTGTATAATTATTATAACAGATAATTCTTTAACCACTGAACTTGAGTTATTTTTTCTGAATCATTTAAACCAGATAATTTTGTTCTGTATTTTCAAAGTCTGTTATGTCGAGGGTTTTTACTGTACTTCATAATGTGCACAGAGAGTTACTACAATTTGTACTCTCTATGTACCGCATTATGATCTTAGTATTACAGTCATTGTGAAAGCATTTTAAATTTATTAGTTCTAAAACCTCTTAAGACTCAAAGAAAGGTTATTGTAGTAACTAAAGCTACATAGGTTTTTTGGTTGGCCTTTAATAATAATAATGATAGTAATGCATATAACGTGCATGAGTGTTGTCATTTTGTTAACCAGCATGACTTGAAAGTTAACTTCGACGTGAAAATCAAAAAATAAATATCTTTATAAACTTGTAAAGTAATATTCAGCATATTATTGTGCTGTATTACAGCAGTTGTTTATGGAACTTCTTTGTTCTTTGATTTTTGTATCGGTCATTTTAGCATGTTTGAGTTCAAAATCAGAAAGTAATACAGAACCACTACTGTTGACATTGGTCTAGAGTGCTGTTGTATCCTTTGTTGCTTGGCATGTAAAGCGGTATTTATTTTAACTTACTTTTTATCATGGTAGGTAACAAGCACTGGTGGCTGGATGGTTCAGGCTGTTGGTGGCAGCGGCGGCATTGGCCGTGTTGGGGTCGATGGAAGTATTTTGTCTTCGCTTGCTTCACCCGAGACCCTTGATTTGGTGGCTCAGATGATCTCACAGGAACTTCTTGATGATGCTATTCTAAGTTAGTTGAGGAATTTTTCAGATCTACAGAATATGACTGAAAATATGTTCTCCATATAAGTTAGAAGTATGTCCCCACTTAGCTTTGTGGATACCTCGCTCTCCACAGAAAACTTGGTACAGGCATACCTTGCTAATATGGCACTTTTCAATTGTATCTTCTTTCAACAAACTGGGCGTATCCCACCAAGGCAGGGTGGCCCCCCCCCCCAAAAAAAAAAAAAAGATTTCTCATCATAACTTTAGTAATGTATACAGGAGAAAGGGTTACTAGCCCCTTGCTCCTGGCATTTTAATCGCCTCTTATGACACGCATGGCTTGCAGAGGAAGCTTTTATTTTCGGCAGTGAAAATACGTATTTTAAAGTTAGTAATACGGTACTGTAGCATTTTATATTATTTTTACTGTTCCATCTCTCTCTCTATTTTTTAGGACTTGCACAATTGTGCACTTGATAAATGATAGTGTAAACATGACAAGTAAAAAAAAGGCTGTGATTCTCTTTTAAGTTGATATTTGCTTTATGGCGATGGTCTGGAACGTAATCCACCATTTTAGTGAGGTATGTCTGTACTGTAGTGTTCTTTCTCTTTACCAAATATAATTGTCAACAATTTCTCTTGTTTTTATGAATCTCACTTTGACTCATTGTAAAACTCATGAGTATGGTTTAGTTTTCTCATATGTACTTGATTTTTTTTTTTTTTTACACCATCTCTCTCACCATACTTCACAGGGGTACCTTGGTGCAATTGAGCTGTTGATCTAAGGAATTGGAGCTACCCTCCCCTATCTTATAAAAATTGATGATGCTCCATTCTTTTCATTAGCATAATGTAGCATTTTTTAATAATAATAATATAGTAATACAGTGGACCCTCGACCAACAATATTAATCTGTTCCTGAGAGCTCATCGTTAATCGAAATTATCGTTAGTTGAGTTAATTTTCCCCATAAGAAATAATAGAAATCAAATTAATCCATGCAAGACACCCAAAAGTATTGAAAAAAAAAAATTTTACCATGTGAAATATTAATTTTAATACACACAAACTGAAGAAGACATGTACAATTACATGACACTTACCTTTATTGAAGATCTGGTGATGATTGATGGGATGGGAGGAGGGGAGAGTGTTGATGGTGTTAGTGTTTAGAAGGGGAATCCCCTTCCATTAGGACTTGAGGTGGCAAGTCCTTTTCCGGGGTTACTTTCCTTCTTCTTTTAATGCCACTAGGACCAGCTTGAGAGTCACTGGACCTCTGTCGCACAACATATCTGTCCATAGAGGCCTGTACCTCCCGTTCCTTTATGACATTCCTAAAGTTTTTCACAACATTGTCAGTGTACAGGTTGCCAACACGGCTTGCAGTAGCTGTGTCAGGGTGATTTTCATCAAAAAAGGTTTGCACTTTAAGCCACATTGCACACATTTCCTTAATCTTTGAAGTAGGCAACTTCCTCAATTTCTCTATCTCCTCCTCCGAAGCAGTTTCCTCAGGTGTGGCCTCTTGCTGAAGATGATCTAGCAGCTCATCAGTGGTTAGTTCTTCATTGTCCTCCTCCACCAACTCTTCCACATCCTCCCCACTAACCTCCAACCCCAAGGACTTTCCCAATGCCACAATGGATTCCTCAACTGGCATAGGATTCCCAGGGTTAGCCTCAAACCCTTCAAAATCCCTTTTGTCTACACATTCTGGCCACAGTTTTTTCTAAGCAGAGTTCAAGGTCCTCTTAGTCGCTTCCTCCCAAGCCTTACCTATAATGTTTACACAATTGAGGATGCTAAAGTGATCTCTCCAAAACTCTCTTAGAGTCAGTTGAGTTTCTAAGGTCACTACAAAGCACCTTTCAAACATAGTTTTTGTGTACAGTTTCTTGAAGTTTGCAATGACCTGCTGGTCCATGGGCTGCAGGAGAGGAGTGGTATTAGGAGGCAAAAACTTCACCTTAATGAAGCTCATGTCCACAGAAAGTCACTCTGCCAAGTCTGAAGGATGACCAGGAGCATTGTCTAATACTAGGAGGCACTTAAGGTCCAATTTATTTTCCAGGAGGTAATTTTTCAGTGGAGGCAAATGCATGGTGTAACCAGTCATAGAAAAAGTCCCTAGTGACCCATGCCTTACTGTTTGTCCTCCACAGCACACACAAATTAGCCATGAGGACATTGTTTTCCCTGAACACTCTGGGAGTTTCAGAGTGATACACCAATAAAGACTTCACTTTGCAATCACCACTAGCGTTGGCACACATCAACAGAGTAAGCCTGTCTTTCATAGGCTTATGTCCTGGGAGTGCCTTTTCCTCCTGAGTAATGTAGGTCCTGCTTGGCATTTTCTTCCAAAACAGGCCTGTTTCATCACAATTAAACACTCGTTCAGGTTTCAGTCCTTCACTGTCTATGTACTCCTTGAATTCCTGCACATATTTTTCAGCTGCTTTTTGGTCCGAACTGGCAGCCTCACCATGCCTTATCACACTATGTATGCCACTACGATTCTTAAATCTCTCAAACCAACCTTTGCTGGCTTTAAATTCACTCACATCACCACTAGTTGCTGGCATTTTTTTAATTAAATCGTCATGCAACTTCCTAGCCTTTTCACATATGATCGCTTGAGAGATGCTATCTCCTGCTATCTGTTTTTCGTTTATCCACACCAATAAGAGTCTCTCAACATCTTCTATCACTTGCGATCTCAGTTTTGAAAACATAGTTGCACCTTTGGCAAGAACAGCTTCTTGATTGCCGTTTTCTTGCCCACAATAGTAGCGATGGTTGATTGGGGTTTTTTGTACAACCTGGCCAGCTCGGAGACATGCACTCCACTTTCATACTTAGCAATGATCTCTTTCTTCATCTCCATAGTAATTCTCACCCTTTTTGCTGTAGGGTTGGCACTAGAAGCTTTCTTGGGGCCCATGGTGACTTATTTTGCAGGTGCAATCACTACAAACGCTGCGATAATATGAAATGTTCTGATTGTATGTTTGGATGGGACCATGGTGGCTGGCTGGCTTGTAAACACTGGCACCCACGGGACAAGTGAGGCGCGTTCAGGCCACAAGTGGACGCGTCTCGAATGGAATGAATAGCGTTGGTCAGGTTTTTTAGCGCTAGTCGAGGCAAAATTTTTGCGTTAAAATGTATCGCTAGTCGGATTTAACGTTAGACGATGCCAACGTTGGTTGAGGGTCCACTGTACTGTCTTCATAATAAGCAGAATTTGCAGTAGACTTGTTTGTGTAATTTAGTTCACATTTATGTTTTGCTACAGATGTAGTGTTTGAGGTGCATCAGAGTGTCAAGACCGGGCTGATGATGCTCGAGCTGGGCTCGCTCGAAGAGGAACACAAATTTTTACAGGTAATATCACACGCATTCTGTCTACTTCTCTACCCATACGGCTGATGCCCTTAGAATGTGGGGCCGGTCACTCATAGTTGTTTTTAAACAATAGCTGTTGCTCAATCTTAAACTAATATGTAGTTCTGCATTTGTTGGATATAATAGCATATTGGCAACAAGTATAAGCTGAAGTTTTCATTGGGTTGGCTTCACTCTGTGTAGAGATTTATTGAGTTATCACTGCACACAGCAGCATGTTGTCTTAGTGCTTGTTACTACAAACTTGTCTATCTTCATATCTGAAATGTGTGTGTCTGTACCATTGGTGTTTTCTGATATACGTACTATAAAAGTTGGTCTTATTTAGAATGTCCCTAATGACTATCTCCACACCTGCAAGTACAGTATTATGAGACGTGCTGTCAAAAGTTCTCATATTTTCACACACTTCCTGAGTGAAATATGGTGGTGGCATAGTTCTCACTGAACAGTAAATTACTTAGTAAAGTAGCATGATGAGTTTCAGTGCAATCGGTCATTTTGTTTAGGTTAGACTGGCATTTTTTGTCATGTTGTCAGTATGTTGTTGCAATTTTTTGTGTAACAGAATGGAATCTAAAAGAAAGAACAGCATGTAAGTATAATGAACTTTAATGTACTTTTTCAAGCTCGGTAAAATGGCTAGTGAAACTCACAGAATCTCTCAGCAATCATTTTTGAATAGTTTTCTCAATTTAAAGCAGGATGAACATCAGTTGAGGATGATGAATGTTCTGGTCATCCATCAGCATCAAGAACAGACACCATCCTTGAAAAAACAAGGAAGACTATTCACAAAGATTGTCATCAGAGTATCCAGGACATTGCAAGTGCTCTGGAAATTTCTTATGGGTCATGTCAAAGCATTTTGACTGAAAATTTGAACACGAGGTGAGTGGCTGCAAAATTTGAGCTCTGCTTGATGACTCAAGACCAGAAAAAGCATAGTGTTTTTGCCAAAAAACAAGATTGCAGTCATTCCCCATCCTCCCTACTTCCCAGATCTAGCCCCTTTGTGACTTCTTTTTCTTTCCAAAAATAAAAATGGCACTCACGGGGTGGTGCTTTAATGATGTGGAGGAGATTCAAGCAGAATTGCAGGCCACATTAGAAACCATTAGAAAAGAAAGTTCCAGAAATGCTTGGAGAAGTGGCAGAGGTGCTGGGATCAGTGTGTAACCTCCTAAGGAGAGTAAATCCAGGGAGACAACTTCAACTAGGTGAATAAGTTAGCCTATATTTTTTTTTTTTTTGTGGCAGTTCATGATTTTTTGAAAGCACCTTGTGCACTGCATGCTTGTGACTTTCTTTTGTGCTCAACAGTGTAACCTACATTTTGTAATGCTGCAGAAAGAAATAGTTTCTTTTGTTGAATGTATTGCACGGATAGAGGAAGCCCACCTAATAAAGAAGTTACATTTCCAAGAAATCATTTGTTTGAGAAATCTCTGCAAAGTGAAATACATTTTCCCATTGATCACTGTTACACAAATTTAATGTTCCAGAGAAGAAGGAAAATTGGCCTTAAAAAAATCAGTACAATACTTTGCTATCCAAAAAAAATTTAAGTACTGTATGTGATTCTCTTCCATAAAATTTTGTTGCTATCGGTGAAGACTTTCACCACGTGACAACATGTTTCAGGTGAACGCAGAGGGACTGGATGTGTTTGGACAGGCACCTATCAAGAAGCAACATGAATGTATATGTCCCAGCTGCTCACGAAACTTGGCAGCATCAAGGTAAGTGAACTGCTGGTACACCATTTTTTATATTTAATTTGCCATTGATTAATGGAGACCGTATGAATTACTCCACCTAATATTGGCCAGTTAACTTTTGCTGTTAGTTTTTCTTTGACAAGTTAATTCATTGCAGATCCCCAAGTAATTATGACTCATTCAGAATTTTTTTTTTTTTTTTCAACAAGTCGGCCGTCTCCCACCGAGGCAGGGTGACCCAAAAAAGAAAGAAAATCCCCAAAAAGAAAATACTTTCATCATCATTCAACGCTTTCACCACACTCACACATAATCAATATTTTTGCAGAGGTGCTCAGAATACAACAGTTTAGAAGCATATACATATAAAGATACACAACATATCCCTCCAAACTGCCAATATCCCAAACCCCTCCTTTAAAGTGCAGGCATTGTACTTCCGATTTCCAGGACTCAAGTCCGACTATATGAAAATAACCGGTTTCCCTGAATCCCTTCACTAAATATTACCCTGCTCACACTCCAACAGATCGTCAGGTCCCAAGTACCATTCGTCATCATTCACTCCTATCTAACACGCTCACGCACGCTTGCTGGAAGTCCAAGCCCCTCGCCCACAAAACCTCCTTTACCTCTTCTTTCCAACCCTTTCGAGGACGACCCCTACCCCGCCTTCCTTCCCCTATAGATTTATATGCTTTCCATGTCATTCTACTTTGATCCATTCTCTCTAAATGACCAAACCACCTCAACAACCCCTCTTCTGCCCTCTGACTAATACTTTTATTAACTCCACACCTTTTCCTAATTTCCACACTTCGAATTTTCTGCATAATATTTACACCACACATTGCCCTTAGACAGGACATCTCCACTGCCTCCAACCGTCTCCTCGCTGCTGCATTTACCACTCAAGCTTCACATCCATATAAGAGTGTTGGTACTACTATACTTTCATACATTCCCTTCTTTGCCTCCATAGATAACATTTTTTGACTCCACATATACCTCAACACACCACTCACCTTTTTTCCCTCATCAATTCTATGATTAACCTCCTCCTTCATAAATCCATCCGCTGACACATCAACTCCCAAGTATCTGAAAACATTCACTTCTTCCATACTCCTCCTCCCCAATTTGATATCCAATTTTTCTTTATCTAAATCATTTGATACCCTCATCACCTTACTCTTTTCTATGTTCACTTTCAACTTTCTACCTTTACACACATTTCCAAACTCATCCACTAACCTTTGCAATTTTTCTTTAGAATCTCCCATAAGCACAGTATCATCAGCAAAAAGTAACTTTGTCAATTCCCATTTTGAATTTGATTCCCCATAATTTAATCCCACCCCTCTCCCAAACACCCTAGCATTTACTTCTTTTACAACCCCATCTATAAATATATTAAACAACCATGGTGACATTACACATCCCTGTCTAAGACCTACTTTTACCGGGAAGTAGTCTCCCTCTCTTCTACACACCCTAACCTGAGCCTCACTAGCCTCATAAAAACTCTTTACAGCATTTAGTAACTTACCACCTATTCCATATACTTGCAACATCTGCCACATTGCTCCTCTATCCACTCTATCATATGCCTTTTCTAAATCCAAATATGCAATAAAAACTTCCCTACCTTTATCTAAATACTGTTCACATATATGCTTCAATGTAAACACTTGATCTACACATCCCCTACCCACTCTGAAACCTCCTTGCTCATCTGCAATCCTACATTCTGTCTTACCTCTAATTCTTTCAATTATAACCCTACCGTACACTTTTCCTGGTATACTTGGTAAACTTATTCCTCTATAATTTTTACAATCTCTTTTGTCCCCTTTCTCTTTATATAAAGGGACTATACATGCTCTCTGCCAATCCCTAGGTATCTTCCCCTCTTTCATACATTTATTAAACAAAAATACCAACCACTCCAACACTATATCCTCCCCTGCTTTTAACATTTCTGTCATGATCCCACCAGTTCCAGCTGCTTTACCCCCTTTCATTCTACGTAATGCCTCATGTACCTCCCCCACACTTACATTCTGCTCTTCTTCACTCCTAAAAGATGGTATGCCTCCCTGACCAGTGCATGAAATTACCGCCTCCCTTTCTTCCTCAACATTTAAAAGTTCCTCAAAATATTCTCGCCGTCTACCTAATACCTCCATCTCCCCATCTACTAACTCCCCTACTTTGTTTTTAACTGACAAGTCCATACTTTCCCTAGGCTTTCTTAACTTGTTTAACTCCAAAATTTTTTCTTATTTTCATTAAAATTTCTTGACAGTGCCTCTCCCACTCTTTCATCTGCTCTCCTTTTGCACTCTCTCACCACTCTCTTCACCTTTCTTTTACTCTCCATATACTCTGCTCTTCTTATAACACTTCTGCTTTGTAAAAACCTCTCATAAGCTACCTTTTTCTCTTTTATCACACCTTTTACTTCATCATTCCACCAATCACTCCTCTTTCCTCCTGCCCCCACCCTCCTATAACCACAAACTTCTGCCCCCCATTCTAATACTGCATTTTTTAAAACTATTCCAACCCTCTTCAACCCCCCACTACTCATCTTTACACTAGCCCACCTTTCTGCCAATAGTCGCTTATATCTCCCCCGAACTTCCTCCTCCGTTAGTTTATACACTTTCACCTCCCTCTTACTGTTGTTGCCACCTTCCTCTTTTCCCATCTACCTTTACTCTAACTGTAGCTACAACTAAATAATGATCCAATATATCAGTTGCCCCTCTATAAACATGCACATCCTGGAGCCTACCCATCAACCTTTTATCCACCAATACATAATCTAACAAACTACTTTCATTATGTGCTACATCATACCTTGTATATTTATTTATCCTCTTTTTCATAAAATATGTATTACTTATTACCAAATCTCTTTCTACACATAGCTCAATTAAAGGCTCCCCATTTACATTTACCCCTGGCACCCCAAATTTACCTACTACTCCCTCCATAACATTTTTACCCACTTTAGCATTGAAATCCCCGACCACCATTACTCTCACACTTGATTCAAAACTCCCCACACATTCACCCAACATTTCCCAAAATCTCTCTCTCTCCTCTACACTTCTCTCTTCTCCAGGTGCATACACGCTTACTATCACCCACTTTTCACATCCAATCTTTATTTTACTCTACATAATCCTTGAATTGTATTTGGAAATTGATTGTTTTAGCATTTTCTGTGAATCAGAAAGCTCCCTGCATAAATATATCTGAAGTGATTGTATAAAACTGAAAAAATTAATGTATTTTAGATTTTTGTGCTGCCTTTGTAATTCTTGATTATTATAATCATATGGCAGAAGATGCAAAGAACTTTACTTAGCACCTCTAATAATCAAAGTTATTTATTAGCTTTGTCTAACTTGCAGGTTTGCTCCGCACCTTGAAAAGTGTATGGGGATGGGCAGGAACTCATCACGCATAGCTAGTAGACGTATCCAAAATTCAACCAAAGAGAACAGCCACAATCATACTGGAGGAAGTGATGATGATGATGACGATGACGATTGGGTTATTGACCGCAAACGGAAGAAGCGAGACAAGAATTCACCTCGTAGATCCAAAAATGCCAAAGTAAGTTCTTTGCTGATCTGTTGAATCTTCAACATTCGGAAATAATTTGTGTAACTTCTAAGTGCCCAAATATAGTAGCCTTGGTAGTACATGCACTTCCATGAAGTTATAAAAATAATCAACTCTTCATTATTAAACATTTGCAGAATATGTTTGTGAATACCAAAGCATACTTTTTTAAAATTTTAATTTTATATAATTTCACATAGAATAAAAAAAATCTCAGATGAACTTGACTCATAAAGCAAAAGTACTTCAAGTTATTCATAAAATGTTGTAGATTGTCAGGATATATAGATACAGGTATTACTTCTAGATGCAAACACATGTGGCAGTTGTAGCAGAGATGCCATAGTTGGTGATACATTAGTTAAGCCAAGTCATTTAAAAAATATAATAATTGCTGGATCTTATAATAAGATGGCAATTGAAGGGTAGAAATAATAGAAATTTAGTTTTTAAAAGTTATATTCGCTGTACATAGTAATTTATCCAAGTATTGTATCAGTTGTTGTGCAGTGCTTTGATAGAAGATCCCCATAACGCTTCCTTATTCCAAGTTAACTTATGCTTAAGCATCTCTTTCCTTCTAAAGCATAATCTTATACAGTGGACCCCTGGTTATCGGCCGTAATCAGTTCCAGAAGGTCGGCCGATAACTGAAATGGCCGATAACCGAATTAATATTTCCCATTAGAATTAATGGAAATACAATTAATCCGTTCCAAACAAAAAATATTCACAAAAAAAATAATTTTTTTAACAATTATGTACGTACTACTACATACCTTTATTGAAGGCTAATGGTGGCTTCTGGAAGATAGGCAGGAGGAAAGAGGGAGGAGTTAGTGTTTGGAAGGGGTATCCCCCTCCATAAAGACTTTAGGTAGCAAAGCCTTCTCTGGGGTTACTTCCCTTCTCTGTCTTTTATTGCCACAAGGACCAGCTTGAGAGTCACTGGACCCCTGTCTCACAAAATAACTGTCCAGAGTGCTCTGTTTCTGGCATCTCTTTAAGATTTCCCTGAAGTGGGACAGGGTTTTGTCACTAAACATGTTGCAGATATCACTTGTTTCAGCTTTGTCAGGGTTGTGTTTCTCTACAAAAGCTTGCACCCTAGTCCACATTGCACACACCTCTTTAATCTCTGAAGAAGGCACCTCCTTCACTCCCTCTTCCTCCTCCTCTGAAGCAAGTTCCTCAGCTGCAGTCTGTTGCTGTTCAAGATGAAGCTCTTGCAGCTCTTCAGTGGTTAGCTCTTCCCTGTGGTCCTCCACCAACTCTTCCACATCCTTGCCACTCACCTCCAACCCCAGGGACTTTCCCAGTGCCACAATAGAGTCCACAGGGTTGGCAGGGTCAGGATCAGGGTGAGCCTGAAACCCTTCAGAATCCCTCTCTTGGACACAATCTGGCTACAGTTTTCTCCAAGCAAAGTTCAAAGTCCTGGAAGTCACTCCCTCCCAAGCTTTATCTATAAGGCTTATGTAATGGAGGATAGTGAAGTGTTTCCTCCAGAACTGTCTTAGGGTCAACTGAGTGTCTGAGGTCACTTCAAAGCACTTTTGAAATGCTGCTTTTGTGTAGAGTTTTTTGAAGTTAGAAATGACCTGCTGGTCCATGGGCTGGAGGAGAGGAGTGGTGTTAGGAAGCAAGAACTTCACCGTGATGAAACTGGAGTCCCTAAGCAATTGGTCTTGCAAGTCTGGAGGATGTGCAGGAGCATTGTCCAGTACCAGGAGGCACTTGAGTGGCAATTTCTTTTCCAGGAGGTATTTTTTCACACTTGGGCCAAACACATCATTAACCCACTCTTTGAAAATTTGCCTTGTGACTCATGCCTTATGATTAGCTTTCCACATCACACACAATCTATTCTTCATGACATTGTTTTTCTTGAACACTGGGATTTTCTGAGTGATACACGAGTAAAGGCTTCACTTTGAAATCCCCACTTGCATTACCACACAACAAAAGAGTAACCCTGTCTTTCATAGGCTTGTGTCCTGGCAATGCCTTTTCCTCCTGGGTAATGTAGGTCCTGTTTGGGATTTTCTTCCAAAACAGGCCTGTTTCGTCACAACCAAACACTTGTTGGGGCTTGAATCCTTCAGCCTTTACATAGTCCTGGAATTCGTGAACATACTTTTCAGCTGCACATTTGTCAGAACTTGCAGTCTCACCATGCCTTACAACACTGTGTATGCCACTACGCTTCTTAAGTCTATCAAACCATCCTTTGCTGGCCCTAGATTCACAAACTGCAGTACTTGTTCCAGGCATTTTCTTTGCAAGATCCTCATGCAACTGCTTTGCCTTCTCACAAATAATCGACTCCACAACACTGTCTCCCACTAATTCTTTTTCCTTAATCTACAATAATAATAACTTTTCCATCTCTTCCATTATTGGTGGCCTTTGTTTAGTTAGAAAAGTTACTCCTTTTGCAACATTAGCATCTTTGATTTGTTCTTTCTTTGCCAGGATGGATGTAATTGTTGATTTATTCTTGCTGTACATCCTGGCAAATTCCACCACCTTCATAACACTCTCAAACTTTTCTATCACTTCACACTTAAATTCCATGGTGTTTCTCACTTTCTTTACCACAGGAACTTTACTAGGAACTTTCTTTGGAGCCATGGTTACTTATTTCACAGTTGCACTGCAAGAAAAACCCAATAAAAACAATGGTAAAGAAGCGAAATGTTTGAATGTATGAGCAAAGCTTCCTCGCCCCCAAAAACC